CTGTACAGCAGAGCTCAAAGAGGGGAAGGAAGAAGCAGTGCAAAAAGCCAATCAATTAATGTGCTAAAAAAGAAGCATGCTGATAGGAGGAGAGAGCAGAGCAAGAGAGGTTGGCTTATCGCTGTGCTACTTCACCTTCACTTTCCAGTCACAGCCTGGGGCAGAACATGTCTTAGAATGGTTACGCATGATAACAGAAGAGGGGGGGTTGAATGATGCTGACTGTCATTCAACCTGAAGGATTGAGAACATCTTGTGGTGCAAAAGAAGTACTGCAGGAGACAGTTTGTAATTTGCAACTCGTTTTTTATTTAAATTTTGCAATGAATTCAGTTTTATGGACTCCTTCATACCCATGCATATTACACTATATTGCCAAAAGTATTGTCCCCGCCCTCCATATCATGTGATTCAGGTGTTCCAATCCCCTCCATGGACACAGGTGTATACAATCCAGCCCCTAGGCATGCAGACTGCTTCTACAAACATTGGTGAAAGAATGGGTCGCTCTCAGGAGCTCAGTGACTCCAAGCGTGGTCCCGTGATAGGTGGTCACCTGTGCAATAAGTCCATCCGTGACATTTCCTGGCTACTAAATATTCCACGCTCAACTGTTAGTGGGATTATAACAAAGTGGAAGCACTGGGAACAACAGCAACTCAGCCACCAAGTGGTAGGCCACTTCACATGACAGGGCGGGGTCAGCACATGCTGAAGTGCACAGTGCGCAGAAGTCGCCGACTGTCTGCAGAGTCAATAGCTAAAGACCTCCAAACTTGGTGTGGCCTTCAGATGAGCCCAACAACAGTGCGTAGAGAGCTTCATGGAATGGGTTTCCATGGCCGAGCAGCTGCATCCAAGCCTTCCATCACCAAGTGCAATGCAAAGCGTCGGATGCCGTGGTGTAAAGCACACCGCCACTGGACTCTAGAGCAGTGGAGACGTGTTCTCTGGAGTGACCAATCACGCTTCTCTGTCTGGCAATCCGATGAACGTGTCTAGGTTTGGGGGTGGCCAGAATGGCACTTGCCTGACTGCATTGTGCCAAATGTAAATTTTGGTGGAGGGGGGATTATGGTGTGGGGTTGTTTTTCAGGGGTTGGGCTTGGCCCCTAGTTCCAGTGAAGGGAACACTTAAGGTGACATTTTGGACAATTTAATGCTCCCAACTTTGTGGGAGGAGTTTGGGGATGGCCCCTTCCTGTTCCAACATGTTCCACAAAGCAAGGTCCAAAAAGACATGGAGGAGCCAGTTTGGGGTGGAGGAACTTGACTGTCCTGCACAGAGTCCTAACCTCAACCCCATAGCACACCTTTGGGATGAATTAGAGTGGAGACTGCGAGCCAGGCCTCCTCCCCCGACATCAGTGCCTGACCTGACAAATGTGCTTCTGGAAGAATGGTCCAACCTTCCCATAGACACCCTCCTAAACTTTGTGGACGGCCTTCCCAGAAGAGTTGAAGCTGTTATAGCTGCAAAGGGCGGGGCCAACTCAATATTGAACCCTACGGACTAAGACTGGGGGGGCCATTAAAGGTCATGTGTGTGGAAAGGGCGGGGCCAACTCAATATTGAACCCTACGGACTAAGACTGGGGGGCCATTAAATTTCATGTGCGTGGAAAGGCCGGCAGACCAATACTTATGGCAATATAGTATATGTTATGTATTTTGATGCACATTGCTTAATACTTCAATGCACGTTGGGGTCCCTGTGCCCATCCCCTTCCTATGGATCCTCAATGTGTACCATAGAAACTTACCTGATCTGTTTTTTCCCCAATACAAAGCATTTGTTCTTAGATGTAAGCATTGTACTGTGTTGAGTACCAGGTGCATGCTCAACATTACCCATTGTAGAGCACAGCAGGAAGCAGAGGCTGCTCATGTAATTAGTAAAGTCATCTGTTCTCATTACAAATTATACAGAAGGAAGAAGAAAAACGTTTTTTACAATATTTACACATTCTGATAAGATTATGTACACATAGTGGATCTCCTATAAGTGTATTAACCCCTCGCCTACAGGACACTTCTACCCCCTTCCTGCCTACAGGGCACTTCTACCCCCTTCCTGCCTACAGGACACTTCTACCCCCTTCCTGCCTACCGGACACTTTCTACCCCCAGGGACACTTTCCTGCCTACAGGGGACACTTCTACCCCCTTCCTGCCTACAGGGCGCTTCTACCCCCTTCCTGCCTACAGGGCGCTTCTACTTCCCCCCTTCCTGCCTACAGGGCGCTTCTACCCCCTTCCTGCCTACCTACCGGGCGCTTCTACCCCCTTCCTGCCTACAGGGCGCTTCTACCCCCTTCCCGCCTACAGGGCGCTTCTACCCCCTTCCCGCCTACAGGGCGCTTCTACCCCCTTCCCGCCTACAGGGCGCTTCTACCCCCTTCCCGCCTACAGGGCGCTTCTACCCCCTTCCCGCCTACAGGACGCTTCTACCCCCTTCCCGCCTACAGGACGCTTCTACCCCCTTCCCGCCTACAGGGTGCTTCTACCCCCTTCCCGCCTACAGGGCGCTTCTACCCCCTTCCCGCCTACAGGGCGCTTCTACCCCCTTCCTGCCTACCGGGCGCCTCTACCCCCTTCCTGCCTACAGGGCACTTCTACCCCCTTCCTGTTCTGGCCAATTTTCAGCTTTCAGTGCTGTTACACTTTGAATGACAATTGCGCGGTCATGCAACACTGTACCCATATGAAATTTTCATCATTTTTTTCTCACAAATAGAGCTTTTTTTTTGGTGGCATTTAATCGCCGCTGGGTGTTTTACTTTTGCGCTATAAACAAAAAAAGAGCAAAAAATTTGAAAAAAAAAAAGTTTCTTTGTTTCTATTATAACATTTTGGAAACTGGTAATTTTTCTCCTTCACTGATGTGCGTTTTTGAGATTACACTGATAGGCAACACTGATGGGTACTGATAGGCAGCATTGAGGTGGCACCGATAGGCAGCACTGATAGGCAGCACTGATAGGTGGCACTGATAGGCGCCACTGGCACTGGTGATGGGTACTGATAGGTGGCACTGACTGGTGGCATTGCTGGGCGGCACTGCTGGGCACTGGTGGGTGACACTGGTGGGCACTGCTGGGCACAGGTGGGCGGCACTGCTGGGCACAGGTGGATGGCACTGCTGGGCACTTGTGGGCGGAACTGTTGGATGGCACTGCTGGGCACCGATCATCAGGGCACTGATCATCAGTGCCCCGATGATCGGTGCCGATCCCTGCTCTGACAACTGCCGGTTCTCTGCAGTACTTTCTGCACGCTCTGACAGCGTGAAGAAAGTGCAGCCGAGAACCGGCAATTGCATTTCCCGGTGATCAGCATGTCATTGGACATGGCTGATCATGTGGTAAAAGGCCGCTGTGATTGGCCTTTTACCTCATAATGTGATCAGCTGTGTCCATAGGACTCAGCAATCCCGGATATCACGCCCGGGTGCGCACAGGAGAGCGTGTTCTGGGAGGATATCATATGACGCCCTCCCAGAACTGGCTGGCCGTAGTGCAGCCATCATTCGGCTATCTGCGGTCGGCAACTAGTTAAAGACCCCATGCCTGTCTTGCAGTTTTGTCCCAGGTTCTATTCTCTATTGGGTGCACGGCCCCCAAGCACACAGCAGCTCCCCAGTTCTCACAACTCAACAACAAAACAATGGGTGTTCTTTTGACGTTTAATGCTGGTTGAGCTTGGACGGGGAGTAAGGAGAGCCTTGGGATACTCCAAATTTAGTGCAAAGAGTAGCAGAGGACTCTCAATGGTCTTAACTAGACTCTAGCCTTTTTCTGGTCATCTCTCCTCCCGGGGAATGGCTGAAGCTGTATAAATATGTAGGTCCAGGGTCTGCCTCTTCCAACCCACTGCACCCTAGAACTCACTAGAAAGCAGGAAGGAGTAGTTGAGCCTGTAGCCAGCAGGACTCAGAACAGTCAAAGACAATCAAACTGGCAACCTTAATCCACGCCACCATCAATCCCACCCCACACGCCAAAGTCCTGGGTGTCACCCTGGACTCAAACCTTTCCTTCCAACCTCATGTCCAATCACTATCAAAGTCATGCAGGCTCCACCTCCGCAACATCTCCAAGATACGTACGTTCCTAACCCCAGACACTACTAAACAACTCGTACACTCCCTCATCATCTGACGCCTGGACTACTGCAACTCCCTTCTCACCGGCCTACCCAAACAAACGCTATCCCCACTCCAGTCTATCCTGAACTCAGCGGCTAGACTCATCCACCTCACCAACCGCTCCACATTCGCTCCTCACAGTACTTTCTACTCTCTAGCTCCCTGGTCTCCTCCTCCCATGCCCGACTGTAGGACTTCTCTAGGACTTCCCCCATCCTCTGGAACTCCCTACCCCAATCCATCAGACTGTCACCTACCCTCCTCACATTCAGGCGCACCCTGAAAACCCATCTCTTCAGGGAAGCCTACCCCACCCTCACCTAACAACTGATCTCCTCCACTTCTCTCACCACTCCATCCCCCACAGCCACTTCCTCCTGTACCACTATCCCCCTCCCTCCTAGATTGTAAGCTCGAAAGAGCAGGGCCCTTGAACCCCTCGTGTATTGTATTGTTACTGTTTTGTCTCATGTTCGGTCCCCCTCGCTATAGTACAGAGCTGAGCAAACCCTTTGGTGCTATACAAATGCTGTATAATAATAATAATAATAGCAACCTAACTAGGAGGGTGCTACATCAGCTAAGAACACAATGAAAAGATTCAACATTCTTTTTTAATGAATAAACTCCTCAACCTTCTCATTTTTTTTTACAGGGCGATGGCCTTCACATGACAAAGAGTCCTGACTTTCAGAAAAATGGCGATGGAAAAAAAACAAGACTGGAGACATTACCGACACGTCGGCAGCCTTCCTTGGACGGTAGAAATGAGGCCATGGGTCTCGGCACTCCATAGTCAGGACGGCGATTATCAGCTTTCTGAGCTTCTTGCTGACGTTGTACTTCATGTCCCATGTGGTCCACCTCCTTCCTCCGACCCCAGGCACCAGACAGGAGAAGGATGGGCCAATACATCTATTATCTTCTACTGCTGCTATTGAGCTTTGCTCTGGACTCATCCTCCTATGGGCCAAACACCAGAGCCCAGAAGAAGGGAGACATCATTCTTGGTGGACTCTTCCCCATCCATTTCGGAGTCAACTCAAAGGACGAGATCTTAGAATCAAGGCCAGAATCCCTCGAGTGCACCAGGTAGGAAATGGATTTGGTGGCGTAATCATACAGGCATGAGCCCTTTCACTAGAAACTCCATCTTAACATCCCAGAATATATAGAATCCTAGATGCATCACTGAAGTTGGCCATATACCTTGCAATCAGATTGCATGGCCTGCGTTGGATCTATCAATGACAATGTAGTATGAGAGTCGACCTAATTGTATGCAAATGGAATGGTAGGTAGGGCTTTTATGACCTAGTTTTTGGTAGATCGTATGGAGATTGTATACTGCAACACAGCCATACTCAACTTTTAAAACATGGAGGAACCCTTAAAATAAATTTCGGGTTTCAGGGGACTCCTTCTAATATTTGCTATTAGGGACGGGCTACGTGTTCAAGTCAAAAGTAACTCGAACATTGGCTGCTTGGTGCGGTAAGAATGGTAAGGGCGTTCGGTGGGAAGTTCGCTCACGCGCCCCAAAATGCAATTGACCACAGGTCAAGTGCAATGCTTTGGCCAATCACAGCTGAATTCACAGGAAGAGCCATGATTGGCCAAAGTCTCGGTGACTTTGGCCAATCATGGCTCAAGTCCACTCCCCACACTGTATAAGGCTGCTTACACAGCAGTCTTGTGTAGTGTGTTGGTGGAGTTAGATAGGTGAGGATAGTTAGTGGTGTGTTAGGAGACAGTGTAGTGCAGTGTTGTGGTGTCAGTGTTTTGGTGTCACTGTGGTGGTGTCAGTGTGTTGTTTTTACAACACTTCTGCATCACTGCTGTTCCCATTTATTCCTTGTGAATTTTTTATTTATTTATTTATATTTGTCAGCATCAGGTTCTGTTGCTGCATCTTTAGTGTTCCCAGGGGCGGACTGACCATTCAGGTACTCGGGCACTGCCCGAGGGCCCAGGGTCGGTAGGGGGCCCCAATGAGATGTCCCTGGTACCTTTCATGGCTTTTTTGGGTGTAGTTTGAGTGTGGGCAAGGACACAGGGGCCCCATGATCCCCTGTTGCCCGGGGGCCCCATAAGTTGTCAGTCCGCCCCTGAGTGTTCCCCTTTTGTGTCGCAGACTGCTGGTCTGGGAGGGTGATTGAGAGCTTTAGCTGGAGATTTTCTAACCAGGTAGCAGTACCTTACCTTGTCTAATATAGGGAGCCAACACTGCTCTTCTATAGATACAGTAGGGTGAGTGAACCTTCCAGTTAAAAAATACCCATCTTAACGCAAAGCTGTGGGGAATATTTCTAAAATGACATTTACTGTAATTAGGGGCATAAAATCACCTCTGAACCACAACAGAGTGTCTTTAGAAGAACCCAAAACCCAAGGTACAACCCAACGGGTAATGCAATTATCTACCAAGCTTCCCAGTCACTAGTTCTCCTACCTCCTCTGCTTCATGCAATTGGTCCATCACTATGACGGGCGGCCCTACAAACCAATAGGAAGGAATGGAGGAGGAAGAGCCAACGCTAGTTCTAAAGAATCTTGGTGGGTCATTGCATTTGTTGGAGTTTGGGGGCCACTTTAGTGGAAAACAGAGGATCCTGTCACTTCGATGCTGAGAAATAGTCCATCAAATCCTCGAGGAAATGGATACATCTGGAAGTGTGGATCTCATTGGGTTCTTCTGCTGACTTTACATCATTACCGCATACTTCCCAACCTTCTGCTCTAAAGAAGAATATTTTGTATTTCACCTTGTTGCAACATTTAGTTTTTTTGGATGTCCGTACGTGAGCAGATGGAGACTGCTGGTCTGGAATGGTGATTTCAACCTTTACCTGGAGATTTTCTAACCAGGTAGCAGCACCTTACCTTTGTCTTGTCTAATATAGGGAGCCAACACTGCTCTTCCATAGATACAGTAGGGTGAGTGAACCTTGTCACCCTAAAGCAGAAAGCGTGTTACTGGGAGGATCACTGCATTCTTATTCTTGGGTTTAGATACATTTTATAGCTTAGTTACATTGGATGTGCAAGGGGTGGAGACGTAAAGAAAGCCAAATAGCAAATATGTGGCCGACAAGTCATTGTGGAAGAGAATACAGCAAATAATAACCTAATAAGACTGTTTAGGGTAAATTGCGCTCTTCCAGTTAAAAAAATACCCACCTTAATGCAAAACTGTGGGGGAATATATCTAAAATGACATTTACAGTAACTAGGGGCATAAAATCACCTCTGAACCACAACAGAGTGTCTTTAGAAGAACCCAAAACCCAAGGTACAACCCAACGAGTAATGTAATTATCTACCAAGCTTCCCAGTCACTAGTTCTCCTACCTCCTCTGCTTCATGCAATTGGTCCATCACTATGACGGGCGGCCCTACAAACCAATAGGAAGGAATGGAGGAAGAAGCGCCAATGCTAGTTCTAAAGAATCTTGGTGGGTCATTGCATTAGTTGGAGTTTGGGGGCCACTTTAGTGGAAAGCAGAGGATCCTGTCACTTCGATGCTGAGAAATAGTCCATCAAATCCTCGAGGAAATGGATACATCTGGAAGTGTGGATCTCATTGGCTTCTTCTGCTGACTTTACATCATTAGCGCATACTTCCCAACCTTCTGATATGGAAAAGGACACATTACAGCGCAATGTATGCAGGAACACAGAGCTGCCATTAGAAACCATGGGGCCTTGTACCATCTGCCTGACAGTGTCTCCCAATACACTCCCCATGCACCTTCACTCCAGGGGCGGACTGACCATTTGGAAACTCAGGCACTGCCCAAGGACCCAGGGTCATTAGGGGGCCCCATGAGATGCCCCTGGTACCTTTTTCATAGGCTTTTTTGAGTTTGGGCAAGGACACAGGGGCCCCATGATCCCCTATTGCCCGGAGGCCCCATGAGTTGTCAGTCTGCCCCTGTTCACTACCCTGCACTCTGCACCCTCTGCATTCCCTATGACACAGCACACTGTACATTCTATATTCGCCACTGTGTACCCAACACTCTGCATCCCCTGGATCCCCAGAACTCCAACACTCTGCACCCCCTGTGTCCCCAGTACTCCAACACTCTGCACCCCTGCATCCCCAGTTCTCCAACACTCTGGACCCTTGCATCCCCAATACTCCAAAACTCTGCACCCTTGCATCCCCAGTTCTCCAACACTCCGCACCCCTGCATCCCCAGTTCTCCAACACTCTGCACCCCTGCATCCCCAGTTCTCCAACACTCTGCACCCCTGCATCACCAGTAATCCAACACTCTGCATCTCTGCATCCCTAGCAATCCAACACTCTGCACCCCCTGCATCCCCAGTACTCCAACACTCCGCACCCCTGCGTCCCCGGTACTCCAACACTCTGCACCCTTGCATCCCCAGTACTCCAAAACTCTGCACCCTTGCATCCCTAGTTCTCCAACACTCCGCACCCCTGCATCCCCAGTTCTCCAACACTCTGCACCCCCTATGTCCCCAGTACTCCAACGTTCTGCACCCCTGCATCCCCAGTACTCCAACACTTTGCACCCCTGCGTCCCCAATTCTCCAACACTCTGCACCCCCTGCATCCCCAGCTTTCCAACACTCTGCACCCCTGCATCCCCAGTACTCCAACGTTCTGCACCTCCTGTGTCCCCAGTACTCCAACGTTCTGCACCCCTGCAGTGCAACCCCACCCCCTGTTCTCCAACACTCTGCACCCCCTGCGTCCCCTACGCCAACACTCTGCACCCCTGCGTCCCCAGTACGCCAACACTCTGCACCCCCTGCGTCCCCAGTACGCCAACACTCTGCACCCCCTGCGTCCCCAGTACGCCAACACTCTGCACCCCCTGCGTCCCCAGTACGCCAACACTCTGCACCCCCTGCGTCCCCAGTACGCCAACACTCTGCACCCCCTGCGTCCCCAGTACGCCAACACTCTGCACCCCCTGCGTCCCCAGTACGCCAACACTCTGCACCCCCTGCGTCCCCAGTACGCCAACACTCTGCACCCCCTGCGTCCCCAGTACGCCAACACTCTGCACCCCCTGCGTCCCCAGTACGCCAACACTCTGCACCCCCTGCGTCCCCAGTACGCCAACACTCTGCACCCCCTGCGTCCCCAGTACGCCAACACTCTGCACCCCCTGCGTCCCCAGTACCCCAACACTTTGCACCTCTGCATCCCCAGTAATCCAACACTCTGCACCCCCTGCATCTCCAGTATCCCCAGTACTCCAACACTCTGCACCCCGGCGTCCCCAGTACTCGAACACTCTGCATCCCCTGCATCATCTGCAGTCTGCACCACTCGTATCCCCAGTGCTCCAACATTCTGCACCCCCTGCATCCCTCTCTACCCTACATTCTGCATCCCCCAGTACCTCAAATTCAGTCCCCCCTAAATCCCACATATTCTGTACACTTCACTTCACCACCCGCACTCCCCACTACTCACCCTGTGCCCACTGTCCCCTCATCTCACACTCTGTACCCCCAACATTACTGTGCTCTGCAACCCCCATTACCCAACACTCTGTACCATCAGCATCCTCCTATTTCCTGCACCCCCTACATTCCTCTACCACGCAGCCCCCTCACCAGTCATATTTGGGGAGAAGCCTCATCTGGTAAAGTTAACAAAAAAAAAAGTTGTCACTCTTCCATATTTCTATGCAGGTCTTTTCTGGACCGGTGTCTTGCACTGTCGCAGGTCTGAACCTCCCGTGCTCCAAGCTTTACCAGAACACTTGGGCAGTGGGCTTCGTCAGGTCAGCAGAGGGTCCTGGTACAGGAGGATTGTCTGTACCCCTATCAGGGGCCCTAGGATGCAAAGGACATTATTATTATTATTATTATACAGGATTTATATAGTGACAGTTTGCTCAGCGCTTTACAATGTAACGGGAGACAATACAGAAAATACAGTTCAATACAAGAGGGATAGGAGGGCCCTGATCCTGGGAGCTTACAATCTAAGAGGGAGGGGCTAGTGGTACAAAAGGTAGTAACTGTGGGGGATGAACTGATAGGAGGAATAGAAGATTCCATTATTAGTTGAAGGCAGGATAGGCTTCCCTGAAGAGAGAGG